GTGTTAAGTCAAAACAAGAACATCCTTTTCCGAAGAAGACACAGTCGACAAGGAAGACAAAGACTTGCTTGCTCCTTGGATCTCTGTGATGCTCGTGCGACGGTTCCAACGTGGCTGTACCGACGAAACGGCTTCCTGTCGTCAAAGACAGCTGGGAACTTTTTTCACGGTAAGCAGAGAGATAAATGGCCAGGGAGTTGCGTATCGCGACAAGAGGTCGCAAGCATTGCCGCTGTGACTTGGGTCTCGGGCTGTTGATGTATTTCTACTTGCTGACGCCGTACTCTGGCCTGGCGCTGCTGGAGTCTTACTGGCTCAAAAGGAACACGGTCGAGAACGGTGCGCGCTCATTTGGACCCAGCTTCCACGTGACAATTGTATTGCGCCACATCACCACGATGGCGGGTCCAAAGGGACTTTGCGAATTGCGTTTGGCAGGTGCCGCCGAGACTGCGTTCTCAAACTTTGTTGTGTATTTATTTTTTGGATCAGTTGTGTTTTTGTCGCTTGCTTGGATCAACACGATGTCGGGACGGAAACCAGGAAGTGGACGGAAAGAAATGGACGACGCCTCATGGCTAACAGCGTAAAAACAAGAATAGAAGAAAGGGGTATATGTAGTTCAAATTGCGGTATGAATACTCAGAAGTGCAACTATAAGTACTCAGAAAACCGCCACGCTCAGAGTTTCAAGTTGCCACGATCGAAGCTGGCGCACACTCGCTGGATGTTCTCCATACGCTACCCAGGAGCGGCAATGCCGCCCGGTGTCGCCTTGCTCGGGGTGGCTCCCTGGAAAGCGTCGTGGCGACAACGCGCGCTGGGAGATCTGCCGCCCCGTTGGTCGGCCGCTCCCATGGTTGGCCCGCCATCCGATGGCTGCGGGCTTCTGCGATGCAACGCTTCTTGGTTTGTGGGGCCGCAGGGATGGATTTGGGGTCTCTGCGCGGCTTGCTCCAGGGGCTGGCTGGGCGATCCCGAACGGTGGCGGCAGAACGGGCTGTTCGCAAAGTGACCAGCCCGGGCACGCGCGTTTGCGCAAGGCACTCGTTCTCCCTTCGACTGGCAGAGCGCTGTGCAATTGTCGGCGTCGGACGGAAAAGGGGGAGGCGGACAGTGGCTGGTGAGCATTTGCTTGTGTCGGCCAGGCGTCAAGCAGTCAACTGAGTTCCTATCCACCTGCTTTTGCACGAGGCGACAGGTGGCATTACCGTAAAGTTCATTCCTTTGTTAAAATTTGTCTTAACAGGACGAAGTTAAGCCCTTCCGCCCCATGCGATGTGAGGCATTCAGGTATCCCAAAATGTGTTCTCTCGCTCGTATGTGGTCTTTTGTCCAGTCGCCACCAGTCTGCAATACATGCAGAGGGTGGTCAAATAGCAGAAAGCACCTTGAGGCATGTTTAGGGATCAGGGCTTTGCTCACTTTCTGCTGCCCAGTTTATTGCAGAATAAGCTCTGTTCCGTGGAAAATGCCCTGGCAATGGAACTGGGACGTGCAGGTACACTGTATCGCACTTGCATGCCAGCGGGCATAAGCTTGTGTGCAAGTGCAGCAAGAGTGCTTCACCAGTGTTGTGTTGTTTGCATGAGTCCATTGCAGGAAGAGCAGTGAATTCCAGGGCAAGACTTGCAAATCTGTTCTAAGTTGAATGTGGGCTGGCTGTGCACCACCAATACCACAATATTGATGCAACTTGTGTGCTTAGGTCAAACACTTAAGTGCAGATGAGACAACTCAGTCAGCAGTGGCAACACTCCTAGCCTGAACATAAACCTTTGCTGTTGAAACTAAGCCTGAATTCTGGCTGTGTGTGGCTTTACCCTTGCTGCAGCATGTCTCACCACACCCGCGAGGTGGCAGCCAGCAACACCAGCAGCACATTGCGGAAAGGGCTCGCTGCGTGGTGGGCACCCCACAGCCGATAGACAGGCGCTCGGGTTGGGGCTTCCAACGCAAACACATGAGGACGAGTAGGCAGACACTGCAACACAAGGAGACATGTGTGCCCAGGACGCGGCCCACAAACCAGCTTTTGTAAGTTGCAGGCGCGCAGACGATGTTGAAACATCATGTTCATGGTCACCGTGTGAACAGATGTTGAGCGGCACTGAGGTGTGGGTTGGGGTTGTGTTGTTGCTCTTGCAGAGGAATGTGACAGCTTGGAAAGTGTGTTTCGGTGCATTGAGGGCAGTGTGCAAAAAAGCACCCTGGCATTCGTCAAGTGGTCCAGCACGGTCATGGGGCACCCAGTAGAAGCTGCATGGTGGCGTGTGGTTAACCAGTAACATTACTGTGAGTCTGTGAGCTACTGTGTTTTGTGCATGGGCCCGAAGACTCGCCTTACGCAACACAGTACCACTGTGAAGTGGGTATTATGTCTTCTTTACATTGTGTTTTCTTGAGAAGATGGAACACATGTGCCCCCACAGGAAATAGCCAGCCAAAGGCAAGGCTTGCATCTCCTGGTGTGTTGAGTATGTTGCCTAACGTTGGAGTCAGCACACGTAAAGCATGTCCAGCAACATTCAGTGCAGGTCCTTGGCCTGGCCATTGCTTGATGCCAGACCCAGCCCCAAATCGTCAGCATGTGGGTTATGATGCCACAGATAGTTGTCAGACAACTGCAATGTGGCAGTTTGGCTGAAAAAGTGGCTTTCAGAGTCCAGTGATGCTCAGTATTACCTGTGGAGACTTAACAAATCCAAGGCGCAGTCGAATCGCACGTGGCAGATTGTTGAGGATCGCTTGTGTTGTGTGTGGGCAGATTCAAGGCGTACTTGCAATGGCGGAACTTCCCTAAGACGGGTGCGTGACAGCAAAGCGCATCTGCCATCAGAAACGGATGCATGCCCCAGTGTGACAGCTGCCTTCCTGCAGGTCAGCTTTTTAGTAGATTGATATTTTGCTACTGTCACTACTACATGTTTTTTCTTTTCAATTTCACGTTTTGATCGCATCCGCCAAAATTGAACAAGTCGATAGCTTCACAGATGGTGAATGACGCAGCTGTCGCCTCCTGGCAGTGCTCAAAGCTGTTCATGCTGTGGCCATGGGCCCAGTTTAGCGGCCTCCTGTGTAGTCGCCATGCAGATGTGGTGAATCCTAGGGATCGTTGGGCAGTTCTGTATTGCAGTGTAGGTCCTCAGTACATCGTCGCGCATGCCTTGTGCGAGCACTGCTGCGCATCGTGCATGAGATGCAAATTCAGCAATTTGTACTACATGAATGGAGCGATTTGCTGGTGTCAAAGTTGGCAAATCCTGTCCCCCGAAATGAAGCAACAGTGTTGTCAGCATGCAACAGATTGCAGTGTCAGTGCCAGATTCCAGATGGCTCCTCATCTGGAAAGCAGAGAGGTGTGCAAGAATTCACCCTTGTGCGTCCTGTGAATACTGTATTGCCAAGAACTGAAGCACAGTACCAGAGTACCAAGGTACCATTCTGTGGCACTTTAGCAGTGTCTTGGAGCAAAGAGAGTAGGCACTGCTGTCTGTGCACCCTGAACCCTGACTGCTGTGCCACCCCTTTTGCCTGCTGCTTTCAGGTGACAGTGCGCACTGATGCCTTGTATTTTGTATCTGTTATTGTTCAGTTATCGTTTAGTGTATGTGCCATCATTTGTTTTGTAAATACACTCCGTTGTTATGCTTTCATCCTGGGGCTCGTGGCATAGTTTTAGTCTTAGTTGTTAAGGCAAGCAGATAAATATATTACGGTTGCCACATTGACAAGTCGTTGGTGGTGCATTAGCAGCTGATTTAGGCTGTTGTCCTTATGTTGCAGTTGCAGTTCCACTGCAATAGTTGCCATTGCTGCTGTCAATGTCATTGGTTACTGTGCTCAAATCCATTTACATATTGCTCAACTGCCTGATTGAGAGCGGGCTTGTGACATTATCGACTCTGTGTTGCAGGTGCTTGCTGGCCTGCAGGATGCTGAAACAGTCAGATCTGGTCACACCCGGAACATCTTTAAGGTGAGGCCAAGACGCTGGGAAGCACCCATCTTTCGCCACTGTCACAAACGCAGCTTGATGCGCCCTCAACAGAAGGCGCATCCCTCACACAAGGCTCACCGCCGATGGCATGTTACCACAACAGGTCAGAGTCAAGCAGTTCATGAGGCCTTGAGCCAGTCTGCGCGTGGTCTGCTAGACAGTACACACAGGCTGCACAGGCAGGACAGAGAGTGCAGGAAGCAACACTTGTCGGGCTGGGAAGCTGCCAAGCACAACACTCTTCTGGGCAGTGGCTCTTAACATGGTTGATCCAATTGCCCATTATTGGACCTTGCACAGCTGGGACACAGATGGCAGATAATACTCATGTTGGCATAAAGCAGTTTCTCTTGACGTTGCATGCGTCTTATCCAACTTGCTGCATTGATCATCGAGATACCTCCATATCATTGCCACCATAGTTGATTGTTTTCTCCATTCTTAATTCCCACTGTGACGTAACATTTGATGGTGGGTTGGATGTGACTGTAAGGCTGCTACCGTCTCTTTGTCATTGTGGTGTCCATTGCTTGCTTTAACTTCGCCCCTGTACTTCCTCTTTAGACTCTGGAATATTGAAACCTGCTACCCATGTGCAGCAGCGGGCAGAACTGTCAAATGGCCTCCAGATTTTGTCAAAGGACACCTGACACACAAAGGTGGTTGACCTGTCTTCAGACACGCACAGAGTGTCTGACGAGCTGCAAAGACGTTGCCTGTCCGACAACGCCGGCAGTCTGGACTGCAATCGTTGTGGAACAGCCAACCAGTACATGTTCACAGGTGGGCAGAATGCCATGCGTTGCTGCTGGCCCTTTATGCTTACATGTGCTAAGGGATGCATCACATCCCGTTACAGACACTATTGTAGCATTTTGGAATAAGGGAAAGAATGAAGGGGATGCACTGAATTGCCTGTTTGCACTACGATTTTGCTTCACACGATTGTATGGAGTTCATGCAACAATTTGGGGTGAGAGTGCTTGTCCGCTGCCGTCAGGAGTTTTCAGGGATTTGTGCAATAGCTGGGCAGTTGACAGTGACTGAGTTCAAGCGGCTGAGGGTCGAGGTGAAAGACTTGGGATACGACTGCCGGAAATTCAGGGAGGAATTGTGCGATGTGAAGAGGGAGGCGGAGAACTCTGCGGCATGCAGAAGAGAGGCGGATGACGATCGCAGACGTTTGAGGTATGTGTATCTGCAGCAGACATGTAGCTTTTGTTATTTGCTATATGATTTCAATCAAGAGGCCACCGATGGCAAAAACATTTACATTTAGACTGAGATATTCTTGGTGTCCATGCTGCTCCTCATTGTGGATTGCAACAAGCAGCAGCATGGACAGCAAAACATCTCAGTCTAAATGTACCTATTGTTGCTGAGAAGGGCTTTGTGCCATCTTCCACAGCGTGGAATGGTTTCTGGCAACGAAAAGGTCTTCTTGTCGGTCACAGTCGGCTGATGTTGATGCCAGCTTCTTGTTTCTTGATCGAAGAACATGAAGAAGAAAAGGGAGGCTCACTTCTTGGTTTTGATGGCAGGAAGCTGGCGAGTGAGGTTGAAGGGCTCCGTAAAGAAGTGGTGAAGCTACAGGCAGATAAGGTGAATTCCGACGAGAGGGCAGAGGACGAGGTGACAAAGAGCAGAGTGGTCATAAGCCTACTAGTGAAGCATCTAAGTGGATTTCTAACCAATCCTGCTGGACAGGTGAGGCTGGGATATCTGTAAGGGCAAGCCTCCACTTTTGTTTTTTTCTCTACATGCTGAATGGCAGCTCCCTGCTGGAATATCGGAGAATGGAAATCTTTGCACTCCATGTGTGTTCTGCTGCAAAACAGACTGCTTGCACACAAACAACCTTCAGCGCTTCGAATCGCCTGGCACTTTCTCTTTTGCAAAGATACAATTACAGCAATGGATCCCTCCATCCAGCTCAACAGTTAGAACACTTTGCCTAGGTGCGTCGCCCAGTGGGTCCATGCCAGCGGTTCCACTTTCTTCTGCACAAGCTGTGCTGCATTTTCTCCTACCTCTGTGTGCAGAGTGTGCCTCTGCTAATGACGATGATTCCTGTGGGACTGCAGGGCATGGCACATCGCGACGTGCTGAAGCAAGTCTGTGCCCAGGTCTGCATGCCACAGGGTATGAGCACGTCCAGGCCAACAGCATGCCACAGCAGGCGGCAGCAAGTGCAGCAGCCCCGTCGCAGCAGCTGAGCATCCCAGAGTGCCTGCTGTCACAAGGCCAGGAGCAGAGCCAGGCGCAGAGCCCAGTTCAGTGCCAAGGCCAATCGGACCCCCAGGCCCTGGTGGCCATGCTGAGCTCTTTGAACCAGAACATAATGCTCAGCCTGGGCGAGTAGAGCGGCCCCAGTGCAGTCTTGGCGGTGGGCAGCATTGTGGAGCAGTCCCTGATCACCGTGTCACAGATGCCGATGCTGCAGATGGCAGCGCCGGCCGACAGCTCTATGCCGCAGGCCATGGGCGACCCGCTGAAACTGAGTGCTAGTCTGGAAACGTCCATCGCGTTGGGTGGCTCATGGGGGGGGCTGGGCAGCAGGGTTTGGGGGGGGGCCGGGCGCAAGCTGGAGCTGGAAAAGCTGGCAGCCCAGGTGGGAGGGCAGGTGCTTTTTGCAGGGTATGCAATAGGATTGGATGACACTGGAGGTTTGTTGCGGGGATTCTGTGATCTGTGCATGGGGGTCGACAGGGGGTGTTGCGCATTCGTGGGGATGGCTGGCAGGAGGGGCCCGGTGCTGTTGGCATTGCTTGGGCGTCTGCCAGTTTGGGATGTGGCTTGAAGGGTGCCGGGCAGCTGCAAGATCCATTCGTGAGAATTCATTGACCGGTGGGGACCGGAGGGTGTGGTGGTGGTTGGTTGATGCATTCAATTGCTGGGCAGGCCTGTAGCACGGGTGCAAGCAGCTTGTTGACCTTGAGGATAGCGAAGTAGTGGGCAGATGGGCCACTGCCTGAGTTGCAAGGACAGAACCAAAATTTTTGTCTGGTGGAACGTTGGAAGTGTAGGTGATCGTTTGGACAGGACAGATTGACAGAGAGCGACACTTGACTATTGAGTCAGTGGAAGTTGACTTTAGGTTTGTGAAATGACTGGCTGGCAATGATGTTGAGATCATTTATGATCCTTTGGTTCACAGCAGTACGGGACTGCCTAGAATGGGCTATTCTGGGATGGACTGTAATGCGGACAGGCTGTTTGCCTGAATGTTGTGCCTCTTAACTAATTTTTCTTCCGTTTCTGCATGTGTGAGGGCAACCAAACCAAGTTCGTGAAGCACTGATTATTGAACATGTCTAGATAGGGTAAACAGTCGAAGGGCGCTACCCAAACTTCAGTAATAGTTCGGGGACGGGGGCTTTCCGTATTGTTGATGATGCACGCCCTCGGTGCGCTGCAGACACGGGGATGCGAGACTGGTCACCATAACATCGTTGTATTCCAACTGCATGAGTGTTTAGTGCACTGCTGCAACACATCGGCTATGACGCGTGCTGCTGACGGGGCACGTCGTATCTGGCACACGAGCTTGCATCCCCAAGAGCCGCTGCGCCCCCCGGCCCACCTTTGCCTCTCCCGACGGACGAGGCACAGACCCCCGCGCACAGAGCGCACTGCAGCCCCCGTAGCCCCCGTGCTCTGACCACCAAGTACCCTCGCGGCGACGATCCAGGATGGCCTGGCGCCGTCGCATGCAGGCGAGCTTTGAGTCCGCGATGGACTCTGCCGCCAAGGATCGCCCTGACGACCCGCCCATCGGGGCCCCATGCCCCAGGCCGCGACAGGCTAGCCGGCCCTCCCGCAAGAGATCCCCGCCGAAGGCGCAGCGGGAGGTGCCCGGTGGTGCGGGCGGCGGGGATGGGCCCCAAAAGGCCGGTCCCCTGGGGCCAAGTTCTGGCCCCAAGGGGCCAGGCGGGACGTCCCGCCCCAAGGGCAGATCCAAGCCGCGTGGCGACAAGGTGCGATTGCGCGCGGCAGGCTTACCTTTGTCTCCGGCGGTGTCTCTCCACCAGCTGCGCCTCCTTCGAGGCCGTGGAAGGCCTATGATTCGGGCCGGGCCTTTGCAGGAAAATGCGGCCATTCTGGCCAACGGGCCTCCGCCTTCCAGCGAGGGCGCCAACGCCCCTCCTCCGAAGTCCGGCCAGCGCCAGACGAGGCAGGTGTACCAGGCGGGCCAGGTGGGCAAGGGCGGCCAGGCGGATGGGGGCCACGTGCGCGGAGATCCGGGGCCGCCCGCTGGCCTGATGGCCGTCCTGGAAAAAGAGGAAAATGCGCTGAAGGTGAGATCTCGGCCACGCCGTCCGACAATTCGAGGCGGGCTGCCCGCCATGCTCTGCCCTTCGAGGCGGGCTGCCCGCCATGCCCCTCCCCTAGAAGCGGGCTGCCCGACACGCCGCTGATCGCGTACTGCCGTTCTGCGCGTTGGGATGGATCCCGCCATTTTCTGCACCTGTGGGTCGTACCTGTGCGGAGGGATCGCCCCGCGCTCCCCGCCTCTGTGGAAAAAAGTGACAGGGGCTGCGCGCACCGTCCAGGAGAAGAAGCGGCTTGAGGACGTCAAGGATTGGGAGGCCATGCAGGCGGAGATGCAGCAGAGTTTGAACGCCAAGATCGCCGCCCTCCAGAAGAGGTGCGGCAAGCTGCCGCGCAAGGGCTCCGCTTCCGCCGAGACGGACAAGGGGGAGGAGCCCCCGGATCCCAACGCCGGCGTCCGACCTGACACGCAGCCGCAGAAGAAGTCAGAGGCGCCAGGAGGGGCTGGGGGCACCAAGAAGGCGGCCCCAATTGGGCTTGCAAGCCACGACGTCCCGGACGAGTGGCTGGACGATCCCGGGTACACCATCGCCACCGGGCCCATCCTTCACTTCAAGTGGGCGAAGAAGATCAAACACAAGGCGAAGCGCCTCGTTCACAAGGGCACAGTCCCGCAGGTGAGAAAAGCGACTCACAAAAAGCGACACACCATGCACACCAGTGCAAAAAGGCGACGCCACCAGGCAAATGGCAGGGACTGCCTTGATTCTCAGCGGCTCAAAACACAAACGGCACTCACAGTCACAGCGGACGGCCCCTCACATGGCAATCACGTCGACGAGTCCCTGAAGGCGGGCTGCAATCCGCATCGCCGCAGGCACCCGTCCCACCCATCTCCTCCGGAGGACGCAAGGAGTCCCCCTCCAAGAAGAGGGAGGAGAAGAGGTTGAAGGAGGTGGGGGCCGGCGCGCCAGCCCCGCCCGTCAGCAAGAAGGATTCGCCCATCAAGAGGGCTGAGGGGAGCTGGAAGGCGAAGGGGAGGCAGGCGGCTAGGGCCAGGCGCCAGGAGCGCCAGATCCGGCGGGCTCAGATCGTGAGCCAGGCGCAACCTTCCCAGCCATCGTCCGCTCAGCCACAGGCCAGCGCTGGCCCCGCACAGACCGCCAGCCATGGGCAGCAGGCGCAACATTCCGTCCCCCGTGGAAGCCGCGCTGTGCCCAATGAGAAGAAGGGGAAGAAGAGGGTGCAGGGATGCGTGAAGGTGAAGCGCATCCCCACCGTGGCGAGCAAGGTCAGGCGGCTTGCGCGGGAGCTTCAGAGGGGCCAGCGTCAGCCAGCGTCCAACCAGTCGGGGGTGAGCTTCCAGGCGCAGATTAGTAATATGGAACGGAAACTCTCAACTGAAGGGCGGCGGTCTCCGAACAATATTTCACTGAAGCAAAGTGAGGCTCCTCGAGGCTGTTCTGGTTGCAAACAAGAGCATTCCGAGGGACCAACAGAGATATCTTGTTGGGCAACCTAGATTGCCCAAATCCTATCTCAATTACTGCCCCAAATATGTTGTTCAGTAGCAAGGGTGCCACGCCATAACACGTTCCCCTGCAGCTCAGCTGAGGGCGACAGAAACGATGGCCACAAAACATGCTGTGCCCACGCTTGAATTGATGCAAACTTAGCAATTCCATTCCCCGAAATTCGTGCTCCGATTAGTAATGACTTCTTTGACGTGACACTTCCACTCATGGTGCGTTCTCCGAGCTTGGCACTCACAGTTGATTCTCAAACGTCACGCCTATTCAGTATAATTATCGCCCAGGTATCTTGAGTGCCCTTATGTGACAAAAATGTGCAAAACAGTAAAGGCGGCCGGGTTTGTACAGCTCCTTTGCAAAAACGTCGCCAGCGATTCCGCCAGGGGCAACCCGGCTCAAATGGGCCTCCAGGCCTGGAACGCGCAGGCTCACGCAGCTCTCCTGGCCTTGGATGAGAAACACATCGGGGAAGCCGCTCGACTCTCACAGAATCGTATGCAAACTCCCGAACGGAGAGATGGCAGTGGGCCCCCTTTACAGGAATTCTAGCGCTGGAGACCGCAAACTCCTGGCCGTGAGACCAACCTGGTCTGAGCGTAGTGGCCTGTGCACACGGGTCGCACACACAGAGAATACCAGCGGAATGCTCATAACATTCCCCACATAACACCCCTGCAACGCTCGGGCGGCCGTCATGTCATTCATTCCCCATATTTCCAGCACACGCGCAGCACCGCAATGGAATCTGTGTCGCGACTTGAAAGATTCGCAGGAATATTCGTTCGCACCTACAGCTCACCTGCCCTTTTCCCGCACTTCAATTTACTGCTCAGGAATAACGCTGTGATGCCGCAGGCTTGCCACTAATCCTCCCAGTGATCCACCCTAATTAGAACACTGATAATTATATATTAAAACACTCATCGCATCAGAAAAAAGTACATAAATTTCATGACCAAACACATGACTAGATTTGCGATGTTTCTGTGCACATCAGGTTGATCCCTATCGGGCTGTCAAACCTCACAGAAACACCTAAACTGCATCTCCCTGCGCAGAAGTATTGAAAATAAATGGCACCACACCTCACCCTAGCCCTCCCCGAATAAATTGCTCATCGATCAACCTGAAAATCCACTTCTGCATTGGTGGTTTTTTTTTACACAGCAGCCACTGAGGAATCAAAACTGTGTCCATCAAGGGAGTTCCTCAATCATTTGCAACCACGCGTCAGACCCCTAAATCGCCACAACAATTTCAGCAAATGCCCAGTTGCATAAGAGGTTGCATACGTCATCAACTCAGCAAACTCAGCAACGTAGTCACCGTAGGCTGACTTGCAGACGTCGTAAACTTGCCGCAGTGTTCGTCAGCATCCCTCTCGGGTTAGTTCCAGTTGAGCACCTGCCACA